AACATTAAGTTTTCTTGGCTGGCCCTGTTTGCTCGCGTGGGTCTGATCGGGCTAAGCATGTGCGTGAATCGTTTGGGGCGGCTTGGCCACAGATTGGGCGAGGCGGCTGAAGCAGCCAAACAGCCGCGTTGTTTGGTCAAATTATTTTATTTTTTTTATAGTTTCTTTCTTCTTTTTCATTTCCGGCGCAAAATAGTTCGCCGGAAATTGTACCGGCGGAATAATCCGCCGGAAATATTTCCGGCGGCATATTTTGCGCCGGAATAATTTTTCCGACGTGCGTGTTACCGTCGAACAAAAATCCGTCGGAAAAATTGAATTCTGACGGATTTTATGCCTTTTCCGACGGATTTTGGCCGCCGGTAAAACGTGATTTTCCTGTAGTGTTTTCATCAACATATCCACCAGAAATACCATCGTAAAGAGCTCTATTTCCCTTTTCGTTGTGACGCTCTTTTCATTTCACTCTCGCACTCGCCTCCATCGCTTCCCTTCATCTCCGTCGTTGTCCTTCCCCTCTGTCGCCAACGTGCATCTATTGCTGATGTGCCTCAATTGCCAAAGTGCCTCCTCCACTGACGTTCTCCGCTAACACCTCCATCAATCCGTCATTGTATGTCACACATTAGGTTTTCTTTGTTCATGGATGTTCTTGGTAGACATTTGTAAGTCATTGTAATGATACTCTTCTTCTTGATAAGACTAGAGAGGGAGTTCAAACATTAAGTTTTCTTGGTTCTCGATAGGCATCAGGAGATTAAGTCAATAATAAGAGTACATATTTTAGATATATTGGATCTATTATTAAAAATAATGGTGAAATTGATGGGGATATTATTAGTAGAATTCAAATTGGATGGTTGAAGTGGAGGAATGCATTATGCCTATTGTGTGATAGAAAAATATTAGATTTGGTTTATGTTAAGAAGTGGAGGAATGCATCATGTCTATTATGTGATAAAGAGATGAGAATGCTCAGATAAATCGTCAGCCTCCCGATGTCCCAATTAATTTGGAATGTATATTTATGTTCAATGTTTGGTGATGATTATGATTAGATGTTTATATTTGAATGAATATAATTTTGGAATATTTTTAAGCAGGTTGTGTTGAAGAAAATATTTTCTTAAAAGGGAAGGTTGTTTTTTCTTTGCTAAAGGTTTCCGGTGGATTTCTGGCAGAATATCTGTCGAGAACAACGATACGACAAAATGTATCGGCGTTCCGACAAAACTTTACCGCCAATAATTTCGATGAATTATCCGTCGGGTTCATTTATCGATATATGTCTAGCGGAATAGTTCGGCAGATACTCTGCTGGAAATTCTGGCGGATAAAACACTGGAATTCATGCCTGGAAAACATCATTTATGCTGACCTTTTTCCACCAGCAAGCCCACTAGAAATGTTTTCAACTGATAATTTCTGTTGAAATAGACTTTTCAATGCATGATTTACCGTGGAACAATATTCTGTCAGAAATCTGTCGGAAACGTATAATTTCTGACGGATAATTGTCGTTACTGGCAGATTTTGTCCACCGATAACAAGCAACTTTCCTGTAGTGCAACCTCCTCGTTAGAAAATAAAATCGTCAAAAATCCTTCAACATAAGATTTTTTAAATGAGAAACCAACATTGTTTGAACCAAAAGCACCAGCTATAACATCCTTAAAAGAACGAGAGGAAGATGGTTTCTCACCATCAATTAGACAAAAAAAAATTGATTTAGAAGATTTAAGATCTGCTAGAGGAGAACCCTAAGGGTTTGCCACTACCGCCGAAGCAGCCATGGCAACCGAAAACTAAGGCCAGAAGGCCCTAGGGCTACCGCTTCGCTGATCCAAGAAAAAAATCGTGAAGGAAGACCTAAAACCTCGAGAGAGCAGATCTTGAGAAAAGGGAATAAAAACACTGGCCAGAGCCTTTGTGGAGAAGAGAAGAGATGAATTTTTAAAGTTTTGGTATGCCAATTATCTTAATTAGGCTAATGGATAAATCTCACCCTGCAAACCTCTGAAACACTTCTCTACCTTTCTCTCAGCTCCTTCTCTGGGGGGAGGGTGGTTTGAGTGAGGTGAATGGTTGAGTGAGGCGAGAAAATGGATTTAGAGTTTGCCACTATACACAATGCCATTTTGCTCCCACAATTCAACCTTTCAAACATTGGGGGAAGTGGTGCAATGCTCCTAGAAGGGTTTTTCTAATTTAATTCTAAATTTTTTCCAAAGCAATTCTAGACTCTCTTGTTTCAACTTAGTACTTATAGAGGTGTAGAAAGAAATCTTACCAGGTTCCATAACTGTAAAAATTACATCTAATTAAACCCTTTGAAATCTTATGAAACACTCTAAAATTAATGTGAACACACCCATCTACCTATTTCAAGAGTTTGAAAGGCCTGGAGTTTCCAAAGATTGAAACACCAAAATCCTAAATACAAAGTTGGGAATTCAGAGAGAACCTCCTTTCTATTATTACTAGAAAATCTCTTTCCATAAGAATTTAAGACAACTCTTAAGCCACACCTATGGCTACTACACTATCTCTAACACCTTTTTGAATCCTTCAAATTCCAATTCAATCACCACTCAATAGCCTAATCTTAGGACACATTAAATTGGTATTACAAAAAGCAGAGGAGTTTGATGAATAAGCATTGATGTTTGAAGAGGTGTCACATAATCAATCATGGATTGCCTATAGAACAAAATGCCAACAAACAAAATCAATATGAAATGGTATTATATAATGGAAAAAGAATATTATTCATCATACTTTATTTAGTGGTCGATTAGTTTATTAGATTAAATGGACATTGGTATGAACTCTTATTGTACCTTTTGAGTTCAAAGGCTTTTTAAAAAAATCTTCTGTCATGCAAATTTAATGATAAGGGTATCTGTAGAGATATACATTTGCTATTTTAATTCTTATGAGCTACTGAATATGATGCTCGATTGGTCTCAAGGGAGGTAGCTTAGTGGGAAGTTAACATATTATAGAATTCCTATAATAATTATGGAATTAATTGTGGTATATAATCTAGCTGGACCGCTACCTCCCTAATAAGTTTTGGGATTTGAACTATGTTGAAAGTAGTATTGATTATTCTAGAGAAATTATTACGTACGGAGACCGGACATAAAGAACCAAAAGTATTAGAGAAATTATTATGTATGGAGACCACAGTAAGCTGCTGCACTTTTTCTGTCTATTCACAGAGGCAAAATCGAACGGTTCTCTATGTCCGGTCTCTGCACGTAATAATCTCTCATTATTCTGACAATAGAAATCATGCAGTAAAATTGCTAAAAAAGAGAAAAAAAAAAACACTTGTAATGAAGAAAATTATTTCCTTCATTTTCAATCAACACTTTGAAAAATTAAATGCGTTCATTCAAGAGCAAGCCTAATTTGAATGAAATTATGTGTTGGACCACTATTTATAAGAATTTGAATATCTTGTAATGATAATGCCTTACAAACATCTTGTACTTTATCCCAGTAGGATGTTATAACAAATTTTTGAATAGTCATGTTATTTTTGTGTGTTTGAGCCGGGAGGAACCAGAAAGTCTTTTGATTGACCTCAATCCTCCTTCACAAAATTGCAAATATGACCACCATGAAGGTAGACACTCTTAGGTCATCGATCAAATAGTCATTAATACAAACCATATGCTCATATGCAATAGTTACATATTTTTCTTCGGATACATTGTAGCTGGAGAAGAATTGGTCATTCATAGAAAGCCAACCTAATGTATTATTTCCATTGAAACAAAAGCATGTTTGTTTTTATAATTGTTGGATGAGCAGGACGCAATACCTGGGTTCAACTAATGTTCTTGAATTCCCCCATTAGGCTATTTTCTTCTATTGATTTAGGCTTTGTTTGAGAAGATTTCTTTACAGCTTTCTAGTACAAAAATTAAAATTTGTATACTAAAAAGTTGTTTTAAGAAGCGGTAAGAAAGCCGTCCCAAACGAAATATTAGGTTTCGTTTGGGACGGTTTCTTACTGCTTCTTAAAGCGGCTTTTTAGTACCAAAATTTAAATTTTTGCACTAAAAAACAGCTTTAAAAAACAGGAAGAAAGCTGTCCCAAACGAAGCCTTAGCCTAACATGTTGCTCCAATTTGCTTTCAATGAGGGTTGGTGAGATGCTATTCTAGTTAATGGCAATAGATCAATCATGCTCCTCAAATTTGACTACATGTGTCTTGCATTCATTCATAGTTCTTGTCAAGATTCATGTTTCCTCTACCATGGAAGACAAAAAATAAAGTGAGGGATTTACTGGAGAAGGTGGAAGAACGTATTAAGATAAATACATAAAGAAGAAATCACTGTGTGAATGAACCAGCTTTGCTGTGACGAGAGAAAGAACTTGATAGAAGTGTTGGATACAGTGAGCGATACCTGGACCTTACTCACAATATCAACAAGAACTCAGTAGAAGAGAATGAAGTAGGGAGGAAAAAAAAAGCTTTAGGAATTATGTTCTCAACACAAGAAGATAATTGACTTACTATCTATATAAAATACACCGCATATCAAAAGTATCCGACCATGCATTTATAGGGCTAAGGAAGCTGAGTCGTTACTTTATTTTTTTGGGGAATGGGTATCACCCACTGTCACCTCTAAAAGAGCGTTTAATGACGTGACTAATCCTCGACTGATCTAGAAGAGGCACTCATCCTAAAAAACTCCTCTATCATAGAAGCTACGTCTATTATATTCTTGATAAATGGTGAGAAAATGCATGATATAAACATTTGCTGTTTTCTAAAACAGCTTTTTAGAAAATGCATAGGTGAGTGTCTAGATGACTCCGACGAGCCAACGAAGCCTTCACTTGGGACTGTTTCTTTGCTGCTTTCTAAAACAGCTTTCTAGTATAAACATTTCTAGAATTTAAATTTTTTTTATAAAAAAATAGCTTTATAAAGTAATAAAAAAGTTATCTCAAACGAAGCCTAAGACTTATTCGCCGCATTTGAATATGCATAAGCGAGCATCTCCTATTAATCAGATAATGACTTCCTTCGTCGATATGAGTTTCCTTCTGGCTAGGATAAGTGTTCTTCTAGCGAATGCCCCTCTTAGGGGCAAGTACTCCTTAGGCAAGTTCCCTCCTTGTTGGACAAAAGGCATATTGATAGAAACCCAATTCTCAGTTGTGATCTGCAAGAGGAAAAACATACAAAAAGATCAGAGCTTTTTCATTCAGAGTGAAAAAAAAAAAAGGAAAGTGAAAAGAAAAAAAACCAACTTTTTTTGCCCTTTATGATTAACAGTCTCCTAGAAGAAGTGGTTCAAGAACTTCCTATTCACACTTTAAACGCCCACCTTAATGCCAGCTGCTCCCCACTCTTCTAACCTACAGCAGTGCTTGTTGTTGTTATTATTATTACTATTTCTCATGCTTTCATCCAACCAGGCAATTGTCATAGCTAGGTCGTCTCTCCACGATAACATAATGTTCTTTGTAATAAATTCATATAATTTAGTCCGTCGAGGATTAAGAGTCATCAACAGCTTTTTCAATTCCTGACATCAAATCATTGTAAAAGTAGAAAGCCTTAATTAACGCCGAAAATTAGTCTAACAGAATACTCCCTCGCAATCTCAGTCCATGACGAAGCTTCCTAGCAGCTCACTTCCACTTCCTCTCTCTCTTGCCAACCCACCCATATAAGCAACGGCTCCTCCTCCTCCTCCCCTTCACACCTCCGCCACAAGTCTTTTTCTCTCTCTAAATCTGTACTTTTAAGTGCCACCAATGAAGCTAATCAGCATCAGCAGCTTATTCTCCAAGAAATTCAAATCAAACCTACAGAAGAATCGCAGCAACAGTTCCCGATCATTCAGATCGATGGCAACCACATCCTCCTCTGATCTCACAACCTCCAAATCAGCCCTCCTCCTCCCTGATACCTGGTCTCCTTACTTCTCCACCACCGCCGATCTTTTTGGCGTATTCGACAGCGACGGCGACGGGAAGATCACGAAACGCGAGCTCGAGATCGTTCTCCGGCGGCTTAGCCCTAAACCTCCGACAGAGGAGGAGCTCGCTTCAATGGTCTCTGAAATCGATCGCGATGGCGACGGCTGCATCAGCCTCGAGGAACTCGGTGCGATTGGGCCCTCCGCCCTTGCCCAGCCAGCCTGCGGCGGCGAGCTCCGCGATGCGTTCGCCGTCTTTGACGCCGATGGAGACGGCAAGATTTCCGCGGAGGAGCTCCTCGGGGTGTTCCTCGCCCTCGGAGACGGCGGATGCACGCTCGAAGACTGCCAACGGATGATCGGCGGCGTCGATTCCGACGGCGATGGGTTTGTATGCTTCGAGGATTTTGCAAGAATGATGGGACGGACAGAGATGATCGTCGAAGAAAGACAAACGGTGCTGCCCGGAAGACTGTAATTAATTAAATAAAATTGAAAATTTCCAATTTTCTCTAAGCGATCCATTTTTTAAAAAAGTTCAGCGACAAAATCTTCTACACTCTTTGAGGGGAGTAATTATTCCTTCAGGTTATCGAATGTATCCGAAAATCAATAACAAAATGCCACGTCATTAAAGTGCTATGCATTTTGCTCGGTACAATATGCTCGGTATTTTTCACGGGATGTAATAATTTTTCCTTTGAGAGTTGGCTTATGTGCTAAAGTTTAGCTGAAAAGAAGTGGTTTGACGTGTTACATTGCCAACCGTATATTTTGGGTTCGGAGGTAAATAAGAATGAGTCATGTCATCTCTTCATTATCGCAACTCGGTATCGCTGAAGTGGTTACACCTCATTAGTCTCCGGACATAAAGCTTCATCTGGCGTCCACAGATAGCAGGTAGATCCCCCTTTAAAAACAAATTAATAATTTTGGGAACTTGGTGAATGAATTACTTTGGACAACTTATTTATAAATGTAGATTATTATCTTTTAGTTTCATTTGATAATCAATGCGCTACATATTTGGCCACATTTGTAATTTAATTTTATTTGAAATTTATTATGTGACGGATCCAAATTTATTTATGTTCGATATCAAAACTTAGACCATCTCCATTAGAGAAACTCATTTTTCACTTTCAATTATAGTAATAGACACACCAAATAGTGCTCATCTTCAATCGAACTTCATTTTTTAACATCAAAAACGAATATTTTGTTTGAATTTTTTCTCATTTTTTATTATATTTATTTTTAATCATATATTTATATTTATTCATTTTTAGAACTTTTCTAAAAAAAGAAAATTACATTTGTAAACAGTGCAATGATAAAATTGGCGTCGCATTGTTCATCATTAAAATTTGCAATCGGGTAGAGCTGGCGGGGGACGGCAAACGATCGTTTAGCATTCTGTTGGAGATGGCCTCAACCAGGAGCGGATCTACCTAAAAAAATTATTATATGATTTTACATGCAGTTTGTCCCTTGTCATCTTATTTTTAGTCTTTATTATAATTGCCCCTAGCATAATTAAACACATTGTGTAGAATTGTTATTGTTAGGGAACATTGAATCAAACACAAAGAGAAATAATAAAGAGAATTCAAAATATTCTTAAAATAAAAAATCGAACCCTTCGAGGGGGCGCTGCCCCCTTGGACCACCGACATATCTACAAAATCTCTACACTTTTGATTATAAGTTTGTCATCCCCCCCAAGCCTAAGCTTGCAAGCACCGATTGGGCTTAAGAGAGAAAAGCTCTACAAATTTTGATTCGATTGTTGTCATGGGGATCGATAATGTAGTGCTCTGCATATTCAAATTGATCTAAGCCTTATTAAAAAGCACACTCACACTCTCCAGCTTCTCTCTCTACAGTAATAAAATTTAATTATAATTAGATTGATTTAAAGAATAATTTGATAATTTATTATATTTAAATCTCAATAAATTATATAATTTTTAATTAATATATATATTAAAAAATAAAAAATAAAACATTTGTTATAAGCCATGTGATAAAAATTTAAAAACAATTTATGATATTTATCAAGGTTTTCAAAATCGGACCGGACCGGCCGGTTCAACCGCGAACCAGTTTGACGGGTGGTTCGGTTTGATGCTAGAATTGGCTGTCTTTGGAACCGGCTAAAAACCGGTACAAAACCCGGTTGAACGGGAACCGCCAAACCGGGCGGCTTTTGAAGAACCGGACGGTTCTAAAATTTGCTAATCCCAGCCGTCCATCCACGAGCAGACGCGTGTGTGGGGATTTTTTTATCGCTATTCTGGCTGCCCTATTTGTAAGCTGCGAGTATTTCACTATTTCGTATCTTCTACAGTTCTACGCCTCAAGCCGGCACACTCCTCCGACCTCCCAGCCGCAGCACATGACTTACCGTGAGATATAACTTTGTATTTTAGTATGTTTAATTTTCAACCATGCACATTTACTTTAGGGCACAAGGTTCTTTATGTTTTTGTGCTTGTTTGATCATGATACATAATTTTTGTGAGCATCAAAAAGCTCTTATTTGCAGTATTTAGGATCTTTATCAAAAAGTTCAAGAGGATTACTGCTCAATAAAATCCAAGTTACTTTAAAATGGAATCATTTATTTTTATAGCAGGATGATTAATATTATATTATCTTAAGTTTCTTAACAAGAAGAGCGTTCTAGTAAACATGCTGAAAATATTGATGTGTTATTTTTCTGTAGGTCAAAAGTCACACAAAGCCTTGCTTCTATTCTAAATTTGAAGAAGTGCATCTTAATTAAATTTTTGTAAAATTCGGGCTGTGCATAGAAATTGATATTTTCTTGTATCATACTAACTTTGGCCATTCTTAAACATTCGTTTTGAATGTTTTTGTGCTTGGCATATCAGTGTCAGATTGTAGTTTTATACTTTTATTCAAGGTTTTGAATCCATGTTGGCATGTCTTTAAAGATTAATTAAAATTTTTTTCTTTTTATTTAAATATATGCTTCTATTCCTATAAATCCCTGTTGGTATTTAATTTTTTGTTGAATATGTAGTAATTAGTCTTTCATTAAAACAAATTGTATATGGAAGACAAATTTTGGAATGCTTATGGCAAAACAAAGCAACACTACAAAAATTCAAATCGTATTATAGAAGGTTTCTTCCCAAGCAACACTACAAAAATCCAATTTGCCGTCTTCGAGCTCTAGGTAAGCCATCGATTTTGTTTTTTATATTTTGTAATATTTTTAATATTCATGACATTACTAGTATAATGCCAACTGCCAAATTTCTTATATTTGTTATCTCTAACATTTATCATGTTATGATTATCATATTAGCTTTATAACCTTAGATTCATCATCTTATTTGAATGACAAGCCTTAAGATCCTTTAGTTTTCTTAATATTTAGATGTTTAGTAAAAGTGTATATTTTGTATCATCTATTTAAACTATTTGAAAATAAATGAAGGAGTATATATTTGCATTTAAATTCATAATTCATATGAACATAAAATGTTGTTGATTCTATTTAGTTGATCATATGAGAATGAAAGCATCTGGAACTCAGAGTGCAGCTTCCAGTTGTAGTGTGCGTGAGAACGTCGATATTGTGTGAAATCATTTCATTGAGATGAAAGGATAGGGTGGGAAGAGACAATTCAAATGTTTGCATTGTGGTATAACATACAAAGGAGGAGGAATAAATAGATTGAAACAACATCTAGCAAGAGTTAAGGGCAATATAGCAGCCTGCAAGAAGGTTCCACATGATGTTCGATTTCAAATGCAGGATAACTTAAATGAGATTTCAAAAAGAAAACAACAAGTACATGAGGAGTTAGACAGTATACCTTTTTCAATAGATGATGAAGTAGACGAAGGAATGGATTCTTCTTCTTTACTTAAATCATAATCATCTAAAGTAAATATATCAGAACTTGTAAATGGGAAAAGAAAGCTTGCTGCGATTGACACTTTCTTTGCTCCAAGAACAAAATCAAGTTTCCAACCTTCAATTAGAAGTATCTTGACATCTAAAGAAGCAATTCACCGTGTAGACATAGTTGTAGCAAGATGATTTTTCGATTGTTGTATCCATTTTAATGCCTTAAACTCACCATATTCACAGAAAGTTGTGGATGTTATAACTGCTATAGGTTTTGATTACAAGCTCCCCTCTTACCACAACATAAGGGTTAACCTACTAAATGATTATAAAAAGGAGTTTAGGTTACTCATTGATAGCAATAGAAATACTTGGAAGGACATAGGTTGTACTCTCATGGCAGATGGATGGACATAGGGCATGAGTAGAATATTAATAAATTTTATGATTTATTGTCCCCGTGTTGTTTCTTTTTTGAAATCAGTGGATGCGTAAGATTTCATTAAAGATGCTACAAATTTGTGTTCCTTATTTACTGAGGTTGTTGAGTGGGTAGGGAAAGAAAATGTTGTTCAGTTTATCACTGATAATGCTGCTAATTATAAGAAAGCATGCGAGCTCTTACATGAAAGATTCAATAATATCTATTGGTCATCTTGTGTTGCACATTATTTGAATTTGATTTTGAAAGACTTGGGCAACATGCCTCTTATAGAGGACTTGGCTAGGAAAGCATCTAAGGTGACGATTTTTGCTTATAATCATATTTATGTACTTATTTGGCTTAGGAAAAGGCTAAGGTGGAAGGAGATTGTACGTCCATGAGCTACACAATTTGCAACAACTTTCATAATATTGAAGAGTATTTGTGACCACAAACATGATCTATAAGCATTAATTACTAGCAAGTTTTATGCATATTCAAAGATATTAAAGACCTGCAAGGGGAAAGAAGCAGCTGCAATAATCATATATTTGAAGTTTTGAAATGATTGTTTAACAATTTCAAAGCTAGCAGGTTCTTTGATCAGGTTGTTGCGTATTATAGACTCATATGAGAAACATTCACTTGGATATATATATGATGGAATGTATAGGGCACATAAGGCAATCAAAACTATGTTTAGATATGTTAAAAGATTATATAAGTCATTCACTAGTATAATCAAAAGAATATGATATACTCAATTGAGGCAGGGCATCCATGCTGCAGCATACTTTTTGAATTCTCAATTTTAGTATGATAATGAGAATTGTTATCACAAGCCAGAGGTTATGCACGATATTGTTGAACTACTTGACAATAAGAACATTTGTCATAAGCCCACACTTGCAATGAATGAGGTAAGATTATTCTGAGATAGCTTACAAAGTTATGGAAAATCAATTACTCTAACGATGGGAAAGAAAATGCAACCTGATACTTATATTTTCATTATCAATGTTTATACATTTTTATAACATATATGCTTATTTCCTAAGTTCTCTAATATCACATTATGTAAATAAATGGTGGAAGATATTTGAATCAAATGCTCCAAACTTGTGGAAAGTAGCTGTAAGAATTTTAAGTCAAACATCATCATCATCAGGTTACGAAAGAAATTGAAGTGTTTTTTAACAAATTCAATTAAAAAGTCGTAATCATTTAGAGCATCAATGCTTGAACGACCTCATTTATGTTCGATATAATCTAAATTTAAAAAATAGGTATAATTTTTTTATAACATAATTTGTGTGTCAATATATAATATTATATATATATGTACAAATGTCACTAAAATTATTATTTCATTCTTAGGTTTCAACTAAAAAAAGAAGTTATGATCCTCTAGACTATACTTGTGTTGAAATAATAAGTTTTTGAGTGCTTGATGAGGAATTACCTGATTATATTGACTTAGAGTAGTTGGAAACCAAGATATATGAAGAGGCTGCAATACCTGTTGTTAAAGAAGAAAATATAGAATCCACTCAGCTTACACTTAATAAGCTAGTGAAATTTGAACATATCATTTAAATAAATTAGAAAATTATAATCTTATTTAATATTTTTTAATTTATTGGTGAAGGTGAACTAGAGAATGAAGGAGATGGAGATGACATAATTTACTTCAATGATTTATGTGCATTTGTGGTTGCAGATTTTGATGAAGTGGAACATGTAAACTCAACTTATGAGGATATATTTCACCAAGAAAATTAGGACATATATGATTTTCCTTTTGTAGAATTATTAAAATTATTAAACTAAGAAAGAGAAATATTATTAACTATATATATGTGTTTTTTATCAATTAGTATAAAGTGTCACAATTTTACTATAATATTTTGCTTATTTATTTCAAAATATGTGCTCATTTTCAGATATTTTAGCTTTACTAATTAGAGATATAAACTATATGATCTTAAAAATTTCTTTTATACATTTTAGAAAAAGAGAACTGAATATGATCTGCATTCCTCAACATCCAACACTTGACAAAAGGTATGCATTTATAAAAAAATTCTTATTTGGTTATTTATTTATTTATTTATGAAATATTTGTTTATATTTTATTATTTTATTGACTTATTTGATGTCACATTTATATTGTGCGTTTTTTTTTTTATGTTTTATAAATTTAATTGATGTAATATTTATGTTATTTGATTAATTAGTTTAATATGAAAATGGAATGTAGAGTGAAGTTATTAGAGGAAAACGTCTTATTCATTTTATAAATTTTATAATATTATTATTTATTACATCATCTGGTTCGACCGGTCGAATCGTGAACCTCTCCTTCTTCCTGTTTATTGTCTGGTACGGTTTCAAAACCTTGATATTTATATTTAATCAATAACATAAAATTTATATAAAATTAACATATGGCAAATTTTAGGGCCATTATAAGATATTCCTAACATAATTTTGATTTGGAATATATCTCAAAAAAATTGAAGCGTGATATTTCTATGAAGTTTAGAAGAAATTAAGTGAATTAATTTTACAAAAAAAGTTTAGAAGAATGAAGATATTTACTGGATATAAGAATATTATATATAATAAGTAAAATAACTATCATAAAAAAATTAACACATCAATTTTTAAAATTATCCTATAGAAATTTGATACAAGACTTAATACAAAAAAAATATCATAAATAATCAGATATCCTACTTTGTTTATAACATGAGTTGCATACATGCTAGGATTTCATATCTAAAATTTAGAGCATGATATGACAATTATATAAATAATATAATATGATATGATCTGATATAAACATTATATAGAACATGACTGAAAGAGTTATATAGCAAGACTAATAAACAAATACGAGGATATATGATGCAATTATTTATAATACCTATGAAATACATTATAGATTACATTTGATATAGAATATGATATACATGCATTGTTACTATACGACATGCATAGAATATATTAGAACGCTTGCTTGATATGACAATCATAGTGATATACTACTGCATTGTATTTAACATGGGTATATAATGACAAAATATATTGATCATTCATATGGCCACAGATAATTGATTTCTAAGTTACATTGCTTGTATTTACACTTACTAATATGAATTGATACCATTCATATTAATGAGCACATGGTCCTATTGTTACATGGTTATACTAATCTAGATTGAATGATTACACGCGTGTTGTTTCTACTTTCTTGCATTGATTGCAGTCCTAGGTTTTGGTAAACTATTGAGCTATTAGCCTACTTTATGATTTTTTAATATTTTTTTAGGAAAGAGATAGGATCCAGTTCAGTGAGGCTACTCTGAATTAAGGTTTAGATTTTGTATATTATATTTTAATTTTTTTTAGTGAGAAGTATAAAAATAGGCTGATTTATGGATTGAACTTCTGACAATTATAAATGAATTTTGATGAATGAAATCAATACTAACACAGATGCATGACATCACTAATATTGATACTCGATGTTGATATCAAGTTGAAAATTAAGTTCACTCTTTTCTACCTAAAACATATACACTGTCATATAAGATTGGAGTAAAAATTGAAAGAAAAGAAAAGATGATAAATTCTTTATTTTTTAACTATCGTAAATGCTTCAAACACACAATAAATATATTGACAACTAATACAAACATTTTTCCATAAAAAAAGAAATCTAAACATTTGAAATATATATTAAATGCTAAGGTAAAACTCCATATGATGATTGCATAAACTCCTCAAAGTTAACGTGACTGTCACCGTCCTGATCAACGCCATCAATTATCTTCCGACACTGCGCCAAATACACCCTGTCACTGGGAAAATTATTACGTTCAGTGTCTGGATTAGTCCGAACACCAATCCAGACGCGCCACGTCACCAAAATACATCAGGATTCAGTGTATTCGGGTGACGTGACGCGTCTAAATTGGGTGTCCGGACGTCCGGTGACCGGACGTAATAATTCGCCCCAGTATGATCCAAATTTGAATACTAAGAAAACCAGAAGAAGGTGGTTCTCGAGTGTTGTCGATGGATTGACCATTTTAGTGTTCAAATTGACGAATTCCTTTAGGCTGACGAAGCCATCCTCATTTTTGTACTAGGAAGCTACTTTAAGAAGTAATAGGAAAGCTGTCCCAAACAAAGCCAATTTTTTGCCAATTTTTTACGGAAAAATCCGTCATTAATAGACAATTTCTCTGCAGTGAAACGAAAAAAATTAGATATCAAAAACATTAACAAATCACCCCACTCGTGACAATCACTTACCGAGAGAGAATCTCCAAGATTGGCTCAATCGATCCTTGTAATGTCCGGTGCGAGAAAGGACTTAGACATCATGACCTTAAACTCCTCAAAGTTAACGAGGCCATCACCGTCCTGATCGACGCCGTCGATCATCTTTCGGCACTGCGCCAAAGACACCACCTCGCCGAGGTCACGCATCACGAGAGCCAACTCCTCCGCCGAGATTACACCGTTACGATCGCGATCGAATACTGAGAAAGCTTGCCGAAGGTCCTCGAGCGCCGTCGATGGATCAACCATTTTGGTGTTCAGATCGATGAATTCTTTCAGGCTGACGAAGCCATCTCCGTCCGCATCCGCTTCACCCATCATCCGCAGTAGCTCCTCCTCCGCCAAAGGTTGCCCTAGGCTCTCGAAGATTACTCTCAACTCAGACGATGATATCTTACCATCACCATTGGAATCAAACTTTCTGAAGACACGTTCAAGTTCGTCCATTTGCTCTGCCGTTGTATCCACATACATCGACTCCAGTGGCGGAGATTCTGATTTGGCGCCGCTGGCTGTGGCCGGTGATTTCGACTTCCGACGCAGCTTGAAAAGTGATCGGAGTTTTCCCATCGATGTTGACAGAGAGAAGGGTCGTGGAAAGGAATCCTTCATAAATTCATCGCTTCATTAATGTTGGCAGCCGAGGAACAGTTTCCTCTGGTGCGGACTATTATTGGGCAGTCCTCACTGAATTCCGTTAAGATTGGATGGTGGAAAGAGATTGGGGGAGGGCGCAGTAGCGAAAAGGCTGAGAAACGCGTTATTACGTTCGAGATGCAGAATCCTTTACTTCATACAAAAGAACTCCCACTTAAAAGCGTGTGAAACGGGAAACGAAACGGTCGAGTAGGAAATAGCAAACGAGCCGGACGAACCACTTGTGAACCCTTTTTTTTTTTTTTGGGAAAAACTTGTTAACCTTACGGAAATAATTTTTTAAAACTAAAAGTCAATATTATGAATTTGATTTATTTATAAAATTATATTTTAAATAAAAAACTATATATAAATATTTAATTTACATATCACATAGTATTCCTTAGACCTCAGTATAATAGATTATTAAATATAATTAAATTTAAAAATAAATACAAATATAACTAAAATTTTATTTGAGAAAACTTTCTTATTATTTTGCTTTGCAAATAAGAGCTATTGTTTTTGTTTGACTATTGCTTTTTACTGCTTTTAAATAATTTATATATTAGAAAGCAGCCTTTTTTACAACTTTTAAAATGTTATTTTTCTTATAGCAATTTTACAGTCAACTTTAATTGTAGTCATTCTAAATAAATCCTAAGACATTTAAAACTGAGACCTCATTAGATAAGTTTTTTTAGACTAATATTTAACCCTGATAATACTGTCATATATGTTAGTATAATGGTTGTTATGCTTATAAAAAAAAAAAAAAAAAATCATTTAATTAACTTTTGAAGTTTCTAAATGCGTATCTGAAAAGTTTTTAAAACTTGAATATTGCAACAAAATACATATAGAATTAGGTGAAATTTTGGATCATGCAAAAATAATTAATTGTAAATGAAATCATACAGTGCATATTCAACACACTTGTTGGTTGTAGAGATCAAATCACTTTTCAAGTTGATGGGGTGAGGATTTGTCTTGATTGTGTTAGCCTCTTTTGATCTTTTAAACACAAATAGTTAACTAAAGTAGAAAGCATGGCATAAGTGGTTAGGGAAGGTCACAAAGAATGCTCAAGTTACTCAAGGGTCGGGTCCTGGTTCGATTTTTCGACCCGTTTCTCTACCCGGGTCGGGTTAGGGTTGACCCGTTTGAACTCGGGTCAGTTCGGGTTCGACCCGAACCCGACCCGTGACCCGAAATTGACACCCCTAGGGAAAACTAAAGAGTGGAAGTGGTTACTGGCAGAGAAAGAAATTTTTTTAGTGGGGACATGATTTTTTAGATATTCCCTTAATTTTTTTTATTTGTGTTTGAGATCAACGTACATTGAGAGCTTTAAATAATTTTTTATTTAAATTTGTTATTTTAGAAATTTTTAAAATAAAATTATAATAAAACTTATAGATTATAATGCATACTCTTCATATTCTAAAAGAGTGAATGGTTATTTTATTATTAAAACAATCAAATATTTCCTTATCAATATACATGATTAAAATATCATTCTTCCAATGTTATTTAATTGCATTTAATTAGTTGTTGATTTATAATAATCATAGCACAAAAAACTCTTTTAATTTAAATGGCATACATTGATCTTAAAATAGATTCTGAAATTTTTATTTTTTATTTTTTTGCTATAAAATTTAATTATAATATCTAAATCTAATTTATTTCATTCTAAAGTTTGATGTATGAGAGTATGAATAAAAATATTAAAATGATAAAGTATTATTCTATTTTAATAAAAATTAAATAATAGTATAAAAAATAAAAAAAGAATTATATTTATTTTTAGGAGGGTCGGGGGATGGCGCTATGCCCTCACAGGCCCCTCTTTAACTCTGCCCAAAAAAGTGGTGATGAGCTAGTATGCCAACCTCAAGAATCAAATAGTTGAAGCTTTATAGACAAGATGGTATCTCTCAAGATGCTTGATGGCATCAAAGCAAAGCAATATTTATCGCTTTTCTACTTGTGGTCTTTCTAAGGAAGAAGAACAACAACAATAGTTGGCATATAGTTGGTGGGAAATAGTGATTGAAGTTAAGGAAGAAGAAGAAGAACAATATGAAGGAAGAAGAAGACGGAGAAGAAGAAGAAGAAGAATTATCCCTTAAAAGACTTACTCCTTAGGGTTTCTCAGTTGAGCCTTTCAAAGAAGTATACTAAGAATTACAATGGGGATATTCTCAAAATTTAGAAGGACAAACTTTATTTGGATGACATCCTCAATATTCTTAAAGATCGATGTGTGTTATGTATGATGTCGCATAGGGTCGAGCCTAAGGCAATCTCCAATCTCTCTTGTTTGGTTAGCCATGTTGGTCATTCTTATTTGAAGACTCTCTCATTGGGTCATAAGAGAACCACTCATGAAAATCCATAAAATAAAAGTTTTTCTCCAACATATATTCGATGTTGTCAGGTTCTTCTTTGATTAAATAATGCTTGAAAAGGGAGTCACAAAGTCCTAGAGTGAAAGTCGTATTGGTTATGCTGGCTTTGAGATGGAAACTTCCAAAAAAGCTTGATTATATATATAGCCTCTCCCCTATCTAATATATAGGAGGGTTTGAACCAACTTTAACACTAGCTTCAAAAACACTAAATTCTTCCATGAATTGCCATCACAATATATTGGAGGACATGGTGTTGTCTAGCACAAGCTTTACAAAACACCCTACTACAACATCCTTAAGGGTGGTGGCAAAGATGTGGTAACATAGGTTGCCATATACAAGAGTTCATGCCATGACATCATTGAAGCTCTTGAGGTGTTCAATAAGCTCAATTAGATCTGTATACTGGTATGAGAAGGGATTTTCAACTTCTCCAATGAAACTTCATGCACTATCTCTATGAAAAATATGATATAGTGTGCTTTGGCAGTCTTCATTTATGTACACTATAATGATTTACTAATTATTTGAGTATAATAATAATTGGGAGTAGGAGAGGGATGGTGACAAGTGTCAAGGAAAAAAGAAAATTAGTAAAAAGGAGAAGGAAGAACAGCTGGAGAAACAACTCTCAGAAGGTTTGCTCCTAATCGAGCCTTTTACTATAATCACTTCCCCTATCTTTTACAGGTCCTTGAGATACCACTAAAAAATGATCTTCCCATGCTTTATGTATCTTCCTAGTGTCATAGATTATACAAAAGGTGATGACTACAAGGTATGATACATCACATCTTAAAATCATAGATAGGTGGTCATTCTAACATGCCATTCTAGATGATAGTAGGCCTCTTTGACATGCTAACTTACAACAAGTAAGAGCTAGCCCTCTACGATATATTGGCCTTGGTGGACTGGTATAAGTTGACCTAACTCTTATATTTTTTTCGAGTGAAATTGATTTGGATGGATGATTTTGATTTTTAGTTGAGTGAGCTATTTGTACAGCTCAAATCTTATTAGTATTTGACATGTTTCTCAGATGAATTTGAGTTAGTTGGTATGTTAGATTGACTTGATCTACAGTGTAGAATAATCACTTCCTTGGGATACTTAGCTGAGCAACCTTTGATGTAGGAATTTATTTCTAAAGAAATTGGATAAGTTTGAATAAATCAAATCTGCTTAACCATGTGGATGGGCTTGATCAAACATTAAAGAAAAGGTATCACATAGTTGCAAGACTACTGATAAGAAAATATATATTTCAAAAGCTGTTGAGTATTAAAATTTCTCTTTAAAAAAAAAAAAAAAAAACAAATTTCATATTGCCACCATACTCTAACATATATATATCATTATAATCTTTTTTATTAGGGAAACATTATAAGAAGTTGCATCTCATCTATTGAATTTCTTAAAAAACAATAAGAAGTTTGTATCCTAGAAAGATTAACATAGCTTTTTGAAAATAATATAATAAAAATCCATCACAAATGGACTATATATCAATGTATTTATGTGTAAGAACAAATGTAATATTTTTACCTGTACACAATAACGCTATCCACTTACCTAGTTTGATAATATTTTAAAATAAAGTTTGAGCTATAACATTTTTTTCTTATCAAATAAAAAATTAATATATTTTTAATTAATGTCATTAGAAAATTTGTTAATTCAAGTAAGAATCTCATACATTATTTGAATTGAATTTTTTTAAAATTAAATTCTAAATCATCTTAACTCCGATTTCAACAAACTTATAGTCAACATAAATGTTTTGACGAGATAAGTCTAGAAACATGAAAAAATGCCTTCATTTGAGCCCAAAAGAATCTTAAGCATTTAAAATATAGTTAGAAACTTCATGAAATTAAAATGAAAGACCAAAATGATCTTCAAATAGTATGTGTTTGTACTCAAAATGAGCATTTTGATGATGAGAATACAAAGAGTACCCATGATCACTCCATACGAAGACCATTACAGAACTTAAATTTTGAAAGAATATTTTAAGATCAAGGGAATTAATATGAGTTGCTGATGGAGTGTTTTGGGATCTTGGCTATAATTACTAAAATACCACTTCCAAAACCAATATATATCCCCCACCCCCACCATAATTATCTATATGAGGAGAACCTTGACCCAAAATTTAAGAGAGCTTGTAAACTTGAAGAAGTCGTGAGCCATTTTCAACAACCAATGTTAATGCTCATCGTCAGCAATCACCATTGCTCAACCACTATTATCAGGTTGTTATCATCTAATCATAGTCTGCCATCCTCCACTATTTGATTGCCTTTTCATGGCTACTATCACCTGATCACAACCTCCTAACTTCTATCACTTGATCATTATTTTCTGACTATGATTTGCATATCACCATATCACCCAACTTTCATCAAGGGATCACCATGATCAACTTTCACTACTCAAATATTCTCTATTATAGCCATAAGAAGTCAAGCTAGTAGTTTAAACTTTGCAATCCCATCTTCATAAGTGAAGAGAACATCACATTTTTGTACTCTCATTTATATAGTGGACTATTTCAACTGGGTGAAGCCCTGTATTTTCATATTTTTAGGTTTTTATATAAAAATTTCAATGTCTTATTTTTTTTTTTAACCTATGTGTGCTAAATCTTTGTATG